TGAGCTAAAAATGAGCTTTTTTAAGGATAGAGACCAAAAATATAAAGACAAAATTTCCAAGGAATTGTTGGGCAGCCTAAAGATTCCAAAATGGTGTCCATAATGCAACACTAAAAATGTTGAATGATTGCAAACAATACATGCAAAGATATCATAAGCTAGCAAAAATTATAAAGGAAAAAGAATCATCTAGGACCATGGAGGAAATCGATAATGAAGAAATTATCCAAGAAGAAAACAATTAAGATGATAGCTATTACTAGGAGAACATGACAAGAATGACACGATATAAAAAACATGATGGAAAAATAAAAGCCATAAGGGAATCTCATCATAAAAAGGATAGTCATGTGACTGTATTACTATAAAAGTCTTGAAGTCCGAATTTGAAATTCAAATAATTATATTGGAGTTTTATTCCTTTGTAAATTAAGAATGAAGCTCCAAGTTGAAGTCCACCCCTATTGCTTGTAAAAAGGCAAGATTTGGGTCTTGTAATAAACTAGAGTCGGGGTTAGAGTTGAAGTTAAAGTAAGCGTTTGCCTAAAAATAAGCTTTAAGAGTCTTGAGTGTGTAAAAATTAAGTGCATACTACTTTCCTTCACATTCACATTTATAAAATAGTTATATGATTAGTTTTATAAACCCTCTATAAATCCTTCTATGTTAGTCTTCTGAAATTGTTAAAGATTATCTAACCCAAAACTTTGTGTATGGATTTTATTTAGCTACTTGGTGCTAGTTAAGAGCCATGAGAAGGGATATTGGTGTTAGGCTCGTAAAATGAGGCACAGTAACTTGAGTTGGTGATCAAGGGAAAGCAACAGACAAGGTGCAATGGTCGACTTTAGCTAGAGGTAGGAACTATTGAGGGAATAATTGTATTATAAGCATGGTTAAGAGTAAAATAAAACTTAAAAAACAAATTAAAACAAAAAATAGAAGTTTAGAAAATATAAATAGAAGGTTGAAGTAGAAGGTTAAGAGATTTAAAAGTGCTATTAAGACTAGTTACTACCAGTACTTTTCCTAGGTTGTATAGTGAGCAACATACTTTAGTTAATGAAAAAGAAAATTAAAAATTGAGTTAATTGAGTTAAAAGTAGAACTAGAAGTGTTATTTAGAGCATGAATTTATGAACTGTACATTGCAAAAAGTACCAAGTATGGTTAATAGTCTAGAATTAAGTAATAACGTAAAACTTAACAAAGAAATTATGTCTCTAAAAAGATTAAAATTTAAACATCAATAGAGTGTTGAAGAGTAAGGAAATTATGAAAGTAATGAAAATCTAGAAGGAATAATATTTGAAATAGAATTTATAAATAAAATGGAAAAGTTATTAAAAGTACTATAAGAGCTAATGAAAAAAAATTTTTATTGGAGAGTGTAGAAATAAATTAGTGATCCATAAATCCTTGTCCGCTTAATTAATTTAGTTTATATTTTGCAATGCATGACTTTATTCTTGACTTTGTATGGGATATTGAAGTTTATACTAGCCCATGTGAATTCTATAGAAATAAAATCATGTGATTACTAATAGAAATTAGTGATATAGAGGATAGTGACAATTACTATTTACCAAAGTATCTCAAGAAATTTAAGAAAGTAATAGCAGATTTGAGGACTAACTTAAAAAGATTCAAGGACACTAGAGAATCTCCATCTTTATTAACGATATAATAGTAAGTTTATCATGTAATAGTAGTTTGTTAGTAGTTTATTAGTGCTATGTTAAATGGTATCAAAGTCTAGATAAATTATGATATTAATAAAAGAATTAAGAGAGTTAGTGAAAAATTTAAGGAAGAACACCAACGACCTGTTGGTTCGAGTAAAAGAAACTCAGTTTCTCTTAAACAAGATATTGAGTTCGAGTCTTGTGAATTGAGAAACAAGTGCTGGGAAAGTTTCTCCCCTTATGGGGTTCAATGTAGCTTGATTCTGGATTAGTTAGGATCAAATGTAGTTACTGAACACCGAGAGATTAATACCAAAAAAAAAGAAAAAAAGAGGAAGAACAAATGGCCTTGATCTCAAAAGTAATAAGAATGGAAGGAGAAATACCCTATGGAATTGACAAGCTACTATTGGAACAACATATTTACAAAGTACAAAGTTTAGTAGTTAAAAAACAATTAAAAAATCTAGCATTTTAAATATTGAGACTTAAGCATAATATTTTTATAATTTTACGAACTTGTTATTGAATGAGAAAAATCTAAAAAAGGATAAAGGTCAAGAGTCAAGAAATTTGGTCAAACAACTAAAACCTTTTAGATCTGGTTAATTAAAGGGTGAAAAAACCTTAATTTATAACTTTATTTTAGTGAAAATTGTATATTAGTTCATGTACTTCTTAAATTACTTGAAATCCACTCTTTTATTATTTTTTTCTTTTTGAAAAATTTTAACCCATGTACTCTAATGTTGAAATAAATTAATCCACATATTTTTCAATTAAAATAAATTAGCTCAAATTTAATAGATGATGTCCTGCCACATCATAGTTTCATGTAATCCATTTCAGACCCATTATATCATGAAATAAATTAACCTATATACATTTTGAGCTATTTGAAATCCACTTCTCTATTTTTTTAAAAGGATTTTCCACCCACGTACCTACATGTTGAAATAAATTAATCCATATACTTTTCTATTAAAATAAATCAACCCAAATTTAATAGATGATATCATGCCATGTCACATTTTTATGAAATCTATTTGAGGCCCGTTATGTCTTGATGATTTGGCACACAGGTCCCATTTTTTTGTGACATGGATTATTTTACAATCATATTTAGGACTTAAGGTTTGGTTTGGTCATCCATGCTACCGTTTTCGCAAGCCCCAAATCTCTTCCTTTAAAATCTTGAGAACTAGGTACCATTGCATCTAGTGAAGGTCCCACTAAGGCTTTAGATTATGTCATTCAAGCCACCAAATCCTTTAAGAGGTGCCAAGTTGAAGTCCAACCTAGCTTGGATCTCATCATGAGTTTGCACATGCTCATTATGATCTGCTACAACTTAGGGATGTTCGATGAGGTTGTGCCAGTTTTAGAGTAGGAAATTCAAGTACCAACATCACTCAGAGCTAATGTTTAGTTAAAGTGGGTGAATGAGAAAAAGAAGATGCCATTTGAAAGGTAAAACACTACTGGAAAACGAGGCATAAACAACAAGAACATATTCGATAGCCAATTGGCTATCAATTATAAACACATAATCGATAACATCTTTGTCAAATATGTTTCATTGTCGATTCTGATCGATTTTTTTGTTCTTATTCGACAGCATATATATTTGACAAAAAGGTTGTTGAATATGTACCCATATTCAACAGAAATGATTTTGTCGAATATGTATAATCAACAGCATTAGGTTGTCGATTATGTTTTTGCATATTCGACAACATTGTTGTTGAATATGTTAGGAAACGATGACGTTTCCTTTGTATATTTGATAGCAATTCGTTGATAACCCCCCCAACCCCCCTTTCTTTCCCCATTTCTTCTTCTTCCTTTGTGGCGATCTAGTTTGTTGTTCTCTGGCACTGTTCTTGCCGTTGGTATTCTTGTTTCTTGCCATTGAGCCCCCTGCTGTCAAAATATCCGCACCAGTGACGTTGATGATGAGTTGGCCCCTCTTCTGCAACGATATGTTTTTTTTTTTTTCCTTGGATTTACAGTCAGCATTTGCATATTTTCTTGTAGATCTGTGCCATTTGGTCCAAGCTCCATCACCTCTAAGCCACCACGTGCCTTCATTGTGCCTTTTGTAAGTTGCAGCACTGACTGTTAGTTTTTTTGTTTTTTTTTTTCGTTTTGTTATTGTTTCTTTCCCTTTTTTTTTTCCTTGGATTTGAGTTTACAAGACCCCAATTTCATTTTTTGTAGGTCAAAATCCAGCTTTTACCGCCTTCATTGCCTCCACAGCGTTACCATCCCTATTGGCAAAGGTAATTGAAATTTTTGTAGTTCTTTTATACAAAATTATATTGTCTTATTTGTAGATTAGTGTAGATTATTACTACTATTGCAAGAATTGTTAGTAAATTACTGTTATTTCTTTTAAGTTTTTGAGATTGAAATTTGTACGTTAATTACTTGCTTGAAGAGTTTTTTTTTAGTAAATTTGTATATACAAAGTTATGGATTTTAGATTATTAAATTTGAGATTAAGATTGAGATTGATATTAATATTGACGTCTAAATATCTTGAAATAGAATGATATTTATATTGAATTTCTATAGTTACAAATTTGTTATTTATTTCAAATTAGTTCAATCTGAGAGATTGATATTGAGATTGGGATGTGCATTATTATTGAACTAAAATGATATTTAGATTGAATTTTTATATATCAATTTGTTTATTTTAAATTACTGAGATTAAAATTGGTATTGTAATTAAACTAGAGTACTATTTATATTTAATATATATTTATAAAGTTACTAAATTATTTACATTGAGATTAATATATGTATGATTGTTGAAATATAGGGTTTAAGTACCATTTTGGTCCCTCAACTTTTCACTTTGGCACCAAAATTGTCCCTCA